CAGGCAGAAGTGAGTATATCCTGAATCACACGTGCACAGTGTGTTATCTCATACTGGGCTACGAGAAGTGTAATGTTGGTGTTCATGACTAGATGACCTTGAAGGTCCCTTCCGACCCAGATGATTCTATGATTCTATGTGATACACTTCATTCACAACTGTTTTGCCCTAACAGGACAGTAATAAACATGAGAAGAAATAGGAAGTTCTTTCCCAAAATTTGCAGACATCACCTCCCATTCTGATTGTGCTAGTTTCAGCCCTACACTCCTCTAAGGCCCCTGTTTTCACATTTACCTCCATTTACTCTTGCTGAATAAATAAAATTGAGGCCTGTGGTGGCAGCTGCTTCCTGTTTCATTGAGAAGCCCAAGGCTAGACTTGAGTGAAAACGGCCTAAAGACACTTGAAATGAGATGTACAATGTGGTCATCATTCTGGCCCTTCCGTGTTTACTGTGACAGGCAGCGCATCCCTTACCATGCAGCTGGCTCCAGGCTCCCCATACTTGCCTGCACCACTGTGTCCCCTCTGAGATGGCTTCGCACCTTCACTCCAGTCCTCCCTCCTGGAACCCAGATGCCAGTGGTGACAGGGAAACTGGAAGGGCCCCAGCACAGAGGTCACGGGCACCTGCCACAGCAGGTAGCAGTGACAGGGCAGTGTCAGCGGCACGGGGTCCTCTTGCTTCCCCTCGTGCCCACAGGGCAGAAGTGGACAGGCTGAGCTGGGTGGGCTCACCTCATGGAGAGGGGACACCGGGATGCGGCCCCATGCCATGCCACGGGGACAGAGCCAGGACAGCACCCGATGGTGCCCGATGGGACCCTTGTCTTTGCTGGCTCTAGCCCAGCCGACGTGAGCTTCGCCCGCACTTTCTGGACCTCAGCCATGCTCCCTCCACCGCTCGAGTCCTGTATAGGCCCCGCCGCGTTGACAAGTGAGGGGACACTGCCCTGGAGGGGACCCTGCCCGGGAAGGGACCCTGCCCTATGGCGAGACCCTGCCCCATGGGAGAACCCCCCCCAAGAGGGGACTCTGCCTCATAAGGGGATCCTTGGGGGCCCTGCACCCCTTCCAGATTCCCCACACCTCTCTGAGGCCTCATGTCCTCTCTGCACTGCCCCCCCATCATCTTCCTAGTTGCCCTTAATATGACTTTTCTTTCCAGAGAGAAGTAATGCGCTCCAGGACCCACAGCTTCCTAGAAGTAAGTGTTAAGTGCTGTGTGCCCCCAGCTAGCTAAACCTTTGTTGCCTAGGTTTCTGGGAGGAATTAGTTCTCGGGAATGAATGCCAATAAGTGCTGGATGACAGAAGAGCTACAGCCCCTAGTGTGCATGACTGAGATATTTCAGCTGATACCTGCTGTCTTGGGATCCAGACACTGGGATCACTAATTTTCTGAACAGCCCCAAAGTACACCATAGTTCAGTTGCTCTCTGTGGAGGGTGGTGATAGTAGGACCACTTGGTCATTTACCTCTTGTTTATCTTATTTAGAAAGTGAGAAAAACAGTGAGAAAGAGAGACTCTTGGAAGCTCAAAGCATGGAGAAAAACAGAGTAAAAGAAAAATACCTTCAGCAGGTAAGAACCACTGATCTTGACTCTTCTTTTTCAGAAATATTCCTATTTACCTTGTGTCACTTGGTGGATTACTGGAACTTTGGAAATGACATGGTGAACTGTAATGAAAATCACTTTCACCTGGCTTACTGTGTGTTTGCATGATGCAGCCCATTTCTTGATGGTTACCTTAAACTTGTTCCCAATTGGGTCATGCTGGCTTGGGGCAGGGCTCAAACTAGTAGGCCTTAATTTCTTCATAGTAAGCACATAATGTCTGTCCTGATTTAGTATCTAGAAGTAGCCAAGTGAGAGTGCCCAGATTCGAAAGTAGATGATTTTGGGAACAAAAAAACCCACCAGTACTGCACGCACTTTCACACACAAAATCCTGGCATAGAGACACTGAAGCACAGCTCAAAGCATAAGTTTATTTCTTAGTTGTCTTAGTTATTAATAGATCTCTATTAGCCTGTGCCCAGCAGCAGCTAGTGCCAAGAGATCATTGAGTGAGAGATGCGGGAAACTTGGTAGTGGGTGGTTATTAAATCAGCTTCCATAGAACTGCTTCTGCCATAGCCTATCACTTAAGGACAGTTTAGGTGATATATTTAGAGAGGCATAATTAAAGAACTGTTAGACCAAGCCAATTCAAATTTTGTAGAAGCTACTTAGGGGCAAATTTTAGCAAACAGTATCAAAACTGAGTTTATAGATGATGCTGTCCTTTCAAAGGAAGGCATAACTGGGATGTTGTAGTGTCTCTCGGGTTGGATTCTTCTGGACTGTACAGAGCCTTCTGACTTAGTGGAGTTTTACAAAAGCTAACAGCAATCTGGCACGAAACTGCCCACTCAGCACTTCAGTTAATGGTTTCAGTAGCCTAGAATTGGTGGATGTGATCAACAAAATTTGATATGCTATGAGGTATATGTACTGATGTTTATGCAGTGACTTGCGCATTAAATTGGCCAAGGAAAGAAGCAAAATAAGTGAGATGGTAACCAGATCACTGAGGGTCATCTCCTGCAAAACAGTGGGATTGAACCAATTAAACAGAACCTGGGGTTTCTACTGCTGCTTTGCCAAGAAAAAGAAGATGAAGACAACAGTCTTGCTTGCTATTGAGACACTGATACAAACTTTTACTGAAGCCCCAATTAATCTAACTGGTGAATTAGTGTTCCATGTATATAACATCAATACAATTCACACAAGGAATGGAAACTGAGACAACTAGCATTAAATATTGTAATAACATTTTCAGCCTGACTCAGTAATTATACTTTTTTTTTTCTAATTTTAGTAAAAATGTTTTTACTGAAAAGCCTCTAGCCAATATTTGGGAAGCAGGCCAAATGAAAGCAATCTGCAAGAGGTGCAGAAAGGTGCTGAGGTCTGCAAGTCTTTCCTGCAAGTCAGCAATCCTCCTTTTCCAATTAATAGTTCCAAAATGTATCCCATCCATTATCATCAATTAGTCTTATTTCTGAATTCTGGCTGAAGCTAGAAACAGTTCGCTGAATCTTCTGTTCACGTTTTTAAAATTCAGTAACAATACATGATAGCAAGGTTTTGCAGCTTTGGGCATCTGGCAGCCATAAAGATGACTGACTAATTTCAATGAGTAAATTACTTTATACAACTACAAGACATGCTATAAGCCTCATGTTGGTCTCAGAAAATTAAAATTAATGCACTGAATAAAATATGAATAATGTCAATATTATTATCAGTCATAGGTGTCATTTACTGTTCAAATCCAGATTTCAGACTTGATCCAGGCATTCTGTTCTGCAGCATGGTCCCCTGGGAGAGCAAAACCTGGAAGCTCTGTTGCGTAGATCTGGGAGGTGAATGTTTCCACAGTGGTACAGGGACAGGTTTTTTTAGAAAGAAAGCTTAGCTGGAGTAACACTATTATTTCACAAGCTGACAGTGAATTACTTTATTAGAAATGCTTATTTTAGTTAGCTAATTTCATATGAAATAGTAGTGAGGAACATGGCAAAAAAGCTGTTGTCTTTGGATGTTTATTTCACTGGACTACTCTGTAATTCATTAATTCTCACCGGCTTTACAGGATATTTTATGATTAACAAAGAAATTTCAAAATTATAAACACTGCAAACTGAATAATCAGTTGAATGCATCTAAAATACAAGTGCTAGGCTTGTTTGAATAGATCTTTGTATTGGTAGACATTTTTCCATCTGGTCACTTTTTCTTTTGATCTTGGTCTTATTTGGCTATCTTTAGTTAGTAAGTTCTAAGGTACCATCACTGAGCCTGACCTGTGGACTGCCTTCCTGACTAGCACTTGTACTGTCTCATTACCACGAACTTGCCTGATGGGCTGGTCTCTTGGATGACCTGATTCCCACTCCAGGGCATGCACTACTTGCCTTACTCCGGTATTGTGTTTACATTAATTCCACATACTATTGAATAAAAATACAGTTTCCTATTGTGATGTAATATGTGGCTCAGTTTTGCTTTTCTTTTTATCAACTGGGGTATTTTACTTCCCTTTTTGTGATTTGTTGGGGAAAAAAGAAGTTGGCTTTTTGTTTAATTAGGCTTAAAGCTGATTAAAACTTGGAAAGGGTTGTTGAAGAAACCACTTTAAATTATGAAGATTGTTTCATTTCTAAAATCAAATTGCATGGAAGAAATTGTCATCGGACAAAAGAATCCACTGCACTAAAAACCAGGGGTGTTTCCCATCAATTTTACATCCTCTTTTCTTAACCAATTCTGGATGGAAAAGAACAAATAAGAAAGTTTTTTTCTTTTCTTTTTTTGATTAGTCATATGCTCAGATGTGCTCCTTTCTGCAATTGGTTGAGGGTTTTCCCAAAATACTTCCTGGAATGTCTGTTTCATAACAAATTGTGAGGAATTTATGAAAACAATTTAATATGCTTTTACTCAGCTTAAACAGTGATGTCTCACTGTAGCTGGATGCTATTCATTTCCCTAAGGCAAAAACATACAGATGTGCTTAGATGTTGGAGAATCATAATACTAAAAAATTCTCAGTAGGAATTTATTCTCCCTAGGAAATTATCTTTTTCTACCAACTCTATAAAGAGAGGAGCTTTAACAAGTTCTAGGATGTGTACTTCCCTTCTTGTAGGGAGAAGAACCTGGACCATTGATTGAAAAGTGTCATTAAATGTTCCAAAGTTCAAAACTGGACTAAATTATATCACCTTTGAAATCATCAAAGTTTTAAATGACTTCTACAGAGTAGCTGAGACTGGCTTAAGCCAAAGAAGCATACTGAAGGCAAAAGTTATCTCTGTTTGCACCTCTCAGATGAAAAGGTTTTTGTAATGAGTCATTATACATATATCAGTCCTGAATTACCCAAATTCTATAATCTCAAGTCTCTGTAGAATAGCATTTGCTAACTTTAGTATTTATATTCTTCTTGACATTTGGAATGATTCCTTCAGATTTGAAGACAGAATGATTATTTCAAATCTCATGTAAATCTAGCAGGAGAAGGTTGCTCTCCCAAGTGGTGTGTTTTCCAGATCTTGGGTAGAAAGAGGAATCAAAGGATTTTATCCAGTAACCTCTTATGCCTGTTTCCCCTGTAGGTTCACTCTAGTTCTCAGCCTCAGTGAGGAATTTTAAGTTTATCTTGACTTGAATCATGTCAAGTCTTACATGCTTTAAATTAATTTTTCTGAGTTTATTGTGGTAAATATATTTCTTTTCAGGCCAGGAGAAGAGAAGAAATACTAGCTCTCCTGAGGAAACAGAGAGAAGAAAGGATTGCAGTAAGTCTGATTCCTTTTTATAATGGATGCATGTCAAGCTTTGTGCATGTTTACAATATGGACAGCATTCAAAGGACCGTAGTCCAGTGTATGAGGGTTCATGGGGTGTGGTGAACTATACCATGGTACCAGTCTTGCATAGCAAAAGCACCTCAGTTTGAACTGAGTAAGTATGCAGGAAAGTTGGCTTTATTCAACAAATTCCTGAAGCAAAGAGGATCCTGTAGGCTGTGTGTTTCTGAAAATCTCGAGCCAGACAGTAGGAAGCAATAGGCATAGAAGCTAAATGAAGTCTCAGAGAGCTAAATGTAGTTATTGGACCATTTTCAATCTGAAAACCACAAGGAGTTAGGCAGTGATATAATAAATCTCTTAAAGGGTTCGAAGATATAACTGATTGTTTCTTGATGTTACATTTTATTTTTGTATGGGTATATCTATAATTTAGTCAGCTACAACACGCTGGCCTTGATTACTTTCTCCAAGACAACAGAATAGAAGAGTCATTGAGAATGGATTGTGTGTTTTCTTGCCAACTATCTCAAAAGGATGACTTAGTACATAAAAATTTTCACAGAAAGCATGGAGATGCTTGGGGGAGGACCAGACAGGAACTGAAACTGACCTCATTGGTGGAAGCAGATAGGGAACAGGAACAAGAAAGTGTGGAATCTTGAAAACTGGAAGAACTTGGGCCTGAGAAGGGAAATGCAGCAGAAGCAGTGACTACAGTGCTGTCAGAATGGCAGTGAGGACTGTGGCAGCACTTTGCTGAAGGCCATGGATTCTATGTAGAGATACATAACGAAAAGACCTCAGTTATCTAAACTAAACCAATTGTAATACAATTATGTGTGTCTAAATTTCAGTTTAGTATACCAAAGGAATCTTTACAACCTGTCCTTTGTTAGTTGCTTTTTTCATTGTTGTCTCTAGGGCTTTTTTCCGCTGAAGCACTAAAACTCAGTTTATAACAAAGTTATTAAACTGGCTGCAGGTGTCACATGCTCTACTCCCTAAAAAGCTCTCATAAACTAAATTTGAGCAATAAAACGAAGAACTCCATTTAGAGATTTTTATTATCTGTACTGAACTCTAGATTTACTGATTTGAATGGTTTTGCTTGGCCTGGCCGGATGTTTATCAGGAGAAGAAAATTCAAGAATAAGAGGTCTGTATTATATTAAGGCACTCAATGTAATCTCAGTTGTAATTCACAAGACACAAAGCAGACGTAGATGAGTTTTTACCCCATATAAGGTTAAACATCTGTCCTTCTGAAGAACTACATATCCTAATTAATACAATTTCCTTACTCATGGTAGAGAGCAGAACTGAAATTTTAAATCTGATAAGTATAGTGATTTGAGAAGTAACTTGGAAAACAAGATTTCAAAGGATACTTTCAGAAATGACATACTCATTTGAGACATAAAAGCCTCCCTTTTTCTTCCTCCTTATTTAAGCTTTTAAGTCATTTCATATTAAGTACTTCACCTCAAAGTTCATTAAAATGCTGAGCCAAATATACCTGTTTTGTCCAAATTCGATGCATTAAAGCTAGGCCTGAAACAAAACATGAGTCTCCTTCCTTCTGACACAGTAACTCCTATGAGTTTTATACTCCGGACTACCTAGGTACTTTTAGCACTGTAAAAAAAACCTCAAACTCTTTACTGTTGCTAGCCTAGTCTTTTGTTTCAGTGTTTGTAAAAAACTGTCTTCCAAGACAAACAGTAAGATTAGAATGAACTAGTGATTATTAATAAGACTTTCTATCTTTTTAGAAAGAGCTGATTTCTCATCCACATAAACCAAAGGTCAAAACTGATCAAGTAAGGTAAAGAAAATACTTAAAATAAGTTTGGGTTGGTTTATCTTCCTCTGTCTAAATAGTCAGACCCTATTTTGGGGGAAAGGATGTTATGGTTGTTATTATTACAACAAATACTCAGTTTTATCCTATATTAGTAACTATTTTTATGAAACTTAGATATTAAAAGGCTGAAAGTCTGCTGCTATTGTTCTGTACTTAACTCCTTCACTTTCTATATGTTCCTTTTCTTTCTAAATAGTGGTTAAGGGTAGGAAGTGGAAGCTTAGACATTTTTTTTAAAGTTATGAAGACTTTAATTTTGCTACTCCGGTATTCAGAAAGTCAGGAAAAAGAGAAGTTGTTGAAATGTTTCCATATTTCTGAAAAGGCCATGAAATACCAAAAAGCCTGTTTCTTTCCAGTGCGCGTCTAGGTATTTGTTTTCCGTTCACCCATGTGAATGGGGGAAGAAGCACCAGTGTGACCGTGTCAGTAGTATCACACTGGATGGATGCTTTCTTTGGTTATATTTTTCCAAATGCTAAGAAGTTTCCGTGCTTATTGTCCTGCTATAAATCCAAAAATAGATCACCAAAATAGCATGTTACGTCATCATGTCATGTTGCATGAGATGACTCATTCAAATTCTTTGGAAAGTCAGCCTCACAAATACTGACACACAAATACAGGGTATGATCCTGAAAACTGTTCTGTCTGGATGCACTGCAGCATTCTTGTGGAGCCCTGTTGAAATTGTCTCTGCATCCCACACATCTGTAAGATAGAGCTGGTAAACTAAGCCTTAGGAGTACCTGAAGACTTTGGAAATATGTGGGATGAAATCACCTGAAGTAAACTTACTCTTAAGTTTAGCCCAGTGACATAGGTGCAATGATTACTAAAGCAGGCAGTGAAGGATTTCTTCATTTGTAACAAACATCGAGCCTCAGAGTGCTGAAAATCTGGTTAGGTTATGTCAGACAGTTTCCTTTCTGGCATTGGGCTGTCACCCCCTGAGTGATGCAAGTGCTGTTATTTTTGAGTGTCAATAAGTATCTGTTAAAATAAACAGGATCCCTGCAGCTGTCAGGTAGGGACTATGCAAGCAGAAACACGTGTTTAAGGTCATCTACTGTTAGCCTGGGATTGGGAAGAATTGGAAAACTGCCCCACCAGAACTACAACAGTATGCTTTGGCTACATGCGGTGTTGTGCTTGCTTTCCCTTTATGCTGTCTGTCCCAAAGGAATTCCCTAATATATATATATTTTTTTGAGATTAAAAAGCAGTTTATTTAACTGGCCTTGTATATGTAAGTCATTTCTCAATTCAGGATAGACAGGATTATTATTTTTAACTAGTGAGTAGCTGATTCTTTTCACATTTATTGCTAATACTTTCCACTCTGTACTGTGAAGTTGAGGGTACATCAGCACTGCCCTGTCTATCCCAAAATCTTAATGTCCTTCACCAAACATAGTTGTCAGTCAGATGGGAGCTATGAGTGCAGTCCAAAAGGTGTCCTTGGGTCATGGGCTAAGCTACAGTGTGAAGAGTTAAAGAGAATAGCTACACTTACTATAAGTTGTTCTTCATTCCTAAAAGCCACCTCATCTTTGAAAATGCTGACAAGGTACTTCACAGCCCTTGATTCAGCAATTTCTTCCTTTTAATGAATGCAATTTAAAGTATTTAAGTGAGGCCATTTTCCTCACACTGGCACCAATTTAAGCAAGTTGGTGTCATTGAATATCCATAACTTAAAGACTGAGCAATGAATCTGCAACTTACATCTTCTTACATCTGCAGCTTACCTTCCAGCTTAACATATGGATATGGAAGCTGAGAAGTGACTGACAACAATTCATTATGAAAGCAAATATCTCAGTAAAATACTGGGCATTAGGTGGAATTAATTTCTGGTATGACCATTACCTCTGAAGTTAGCTATAAAAGATAAACAGAAGTATCTGGAAAAAGTTAAAAGGCTGAAGGTGCAATGTTTGCTGAGGTGAGCAGCTGCAGGAGTAGGAACAACCTACAGATTTCTTCCTTCCATCATTAGATACTTACAGGAGAAAAGCTTAAGCTGTCTTGAAGCTGTGCCAAGGACAACTGGTGGAGCTCTTTACCCAAAATGATAATTGGATGAGGGAGAGTTAAGATTCATGCTTTATGTAGCAGCTTATGGCCTGTGAAGAAAACTGTAGTCTGGTTTATTAAACTGTTAGATTTTTTTCTTTTAAACTTTTTAATGGGAAAAATACATCACTGTATTTACTGAAGCAAACTCACCCAGACTACAGGGTATTGGTTACTGCTGTATTTAATTAGAATAATTGTATTTTTGTAATGGCTGGTTAGCACTCTTTACTGGGAAATATGAGCATGCCAATTTTACTAATGTCTCTTAGAATAGTTACAGTTTGCATTGACCAAGATGATTCCTGTTTCCAGTGGCAAGTCAGATGAATGGCTGAGAAAATATTTCATATTTTGAGAATTTTCCATGGACAGAATACACTCTCTTCCTGATTCTTTTTTTCTTCAGTAGGTCCTCTTTTTTTATGTTGTTCATCTTTATCTTGATTTCAGCAAACTCATGATTTGTGTACATATTTTCATAGGCCTTGACTTTCCAAGGGTTTAAAAATAGAAATAATTATTTCTTCCTTACCAGTATTCAGGGGTAATAGCGTAAATAGTTCACTGCTTTGGGTTTTTTAGCTCTGTTTAACTAGAAGCTTGAGGGTTTTGTAGTGAATTTATATTGTTTTACATCTACAAATTGACACAGATCTATCTATGTCAAGTTGTGTGTACTAATAAAAAGAAAAAAATATTTCCTTAGAGAAAGGCATTAAGCTAGTATGAAGCAATTCTATACTGACAGATAATTACATCTCTATTGGGAATTATAGCTTTGGGATACCTTTCAGAAAAGTCTACCAATATACTACGTACCTTGAGCACTATAATTACATGAATGTAGTATGTGTGTTGAAGGAATTTAATCCAACCGCTTTGTGCCTGAGTGCAAAACTTACCGAGGAGTTTGGAGTTTTAATCCTGTGCAGTACGTCACCTATGAAATGGGATTTTTCTGCTAGGTTGTATGTTGCCTTTAAAGTTTTTCTCAGTTAATTTTTCTGTAAGTTCTGACACCTGTATGGGCATCCTTTTGTGTGGATTCTCTGAACTAGTGTTCTGTGATTTATGCCTTCTACACATAGCATTTACAAGGCATCTCTGTGTTCAGATATGCATCGAAGTACCTGACATGACACAGACTGGGCTGAGTCTGCATCCTGGCAGCTACTTCACACTGACTCTTCTCTGTAAAACTGCCCAAAAAATCAAATCCCACATCATTTTCAGGACATTAGTGTGCCTGTAACAAGCTGATGTTTCATGCAGACTAGCTGGAGCTGCCCCATCAACAATTTACCTGATGTAGTTATTATTTCCAGCAGGCAGAAGGTGTCTGAAGCTGACCTGGTGGATCAAGAAGCTGTAAAGGCCCTTAAATAGCTCAGCTGCATTCTCTGATGAAGAAAATAAAGTGTTTCTTTGCCCCAGAAAAAGTATCTTGCTATCAGAACCATGCTGCTTTGGACTTCAAGCCAAGTACATTCATCATTTGACTACATATCTAGTTGCTCCTACTGAGACACGGCATGAATGTGACAAAGGCTGTGGATAGGCTTGCAGCAATTTTTCAGCCTATCCATAAATTTGTTTTTCTAAAGTTAAGATAAATGCATAATTCAGAAACATTTTTATATTACGTAATTTATTTACTTAGTAAACTGTTAACTCCTAATGTGCTGTTGTTGATCTTGGAAACACAAAGTTTTTTTATTGTCCTCTTGCTTTCCTGTTGTCTTGAAACTGCAGCAGTATGCCAATAGCTGCTTATTGAGGCTCAAAATCACTCTGAATTCTGTTCTTTCTTGGCATCTTAACCAGTGTGCCACGAGACAAAGTGGAGGGCTCAGTTTACTGCCTTCTCAGTGTGCAGGAAATGAAAATGCTTGTTTCGTTTGTGGTTTTTTTTGAAGTTGTCAGCATGAAAGGGAAAGGGTCATAAAATGTAAAAGTGTCAATGAAGCATTTGGTATGCTAGGAATTCTAGAACTGAAAAGACATATATCTTTCTTGAAGAAGATGGACTATATACTTTCTTCAGGTTTGTGTCAGGTATCTATTAATAAAATTTGCTTCAGGAAAACACATTTTCTATTCTGGTGTTCTTGTATGCTCTCTCACACATGTGTACCCCTCTACCTCAATTAAAGTACCAGTTTTGCCTGGCTAACATTACATAAATCTTTATCACCAAAGTTGGCTTTTGAAATATTAATGCTAAAGTATTTGGAAGCCAAAGGATGTACTTGGACAGTTGCAATCTTGTATTTCGTGCACATCTGTGGTCCTGGGATTTTTGATTTGCAGTATTTGAAAGCTTCTGAACTTACTAGACAGCCTTCAAATGGCACAATTCTAAGATCTGAAGGGGCTGTTAAATTGAGTATCTGTATTTCATGTGTGCTAATTTTACCAAAACTATAAATGTAGAGGAACTGCTTTGCCCGTGTTAGGAAATTTGTCTACAAAAGTAGAAAACGCATCAAACGGAAGAGTCTGTGGCTAGTAAAATTAAGGTTGCACAATAAAGGCACTAAGTTTTGTTATTGAGTGTTATACATAGTGTTTAAATGCTTGGAGCTGACCTTTGTTAAAAATAGATCAACAAAGGCTTCTGTCAGCTACTGCCATTTTCCTGTTGAAGTTAGCAAAATCTTTGAAAATCACTTTGCTGCTGTTGTGTGACAGTATTCCTCAATCGGGCTTTTGATATGGGAAAGGTGGTAAGATGCAAGTGGCAGAGTATTTATTCACCAGTAATTCAAGAAAGCATGTTGATAATGCTTCTGCTACTTGCCATGGGTATATTCAATCCTTGTTTTTTCTCCAGAGCCATTACAGAAATGCTTTCCAATGGATTTAGAATACAAACATGCTGAAAAAAAGGTAGTCTGCTAAAATAATTAGCAGGGATGGTTAAGCTGTGTTACAAAAATACCTACAGCTGTTAAGAAAGAGAGATTTTAATTTCTAAAAATGCTGTAATTATTTTGGCTACTTTGTCTGCAAAACAAGAAAAAAAAACCTTCCCAAACAGGATTTCCTTTGTCAAAAGTTCTCCAAAGAATGAATGCGCTAGTGGAGCTTCAAGATAATGAAGACTGGTTTGATAAAGGCTTGACTTCAGTCTTATAACTTAGACTAGCCACTTCAGAGCGTGGTTCTTCCCTGTATTTGAGGCATTTCCAGTTATCCTACCTAACAGTTTGGAAATAGTTAAATGCATATGTCACTTTCATGGATGTACCTCACTTTGAGTTGTTTAATCTTCTAAAATACATGAAGTTAAACCATCTAAAATATTAGTCCACATTCAAGTTCATGAGAGTGGTTAAATTGCTCATGTCTGTAAAGTTGTTATTTACTAAATCCAAACCTTGATCACCAAGGACTTGGGAAATGTAAAAGTTCAGGTCTAAAATACCATCGATGTGTGTGTTTCCCAGACATGACACGTACTGCAAAGCCACAGCCTTAGTTCAGCTCCAACATCTGCCTCTGGGATTCTTGGCTTCTGGTGACCTGCAGGGGAGTGTGTACATGATATTTTAAAGGATCTTTCTCTATTTAGGATACCCATCTCAGAACTAGTTTCCTCAACTGGACTCCTGAGAGTTGGTCTAGGCTTGAAGTCTTTCGTAAAATCATTAATCTATTTTAAAACATCAGTGCCAGCTGGGATCTGTCTGTGCAGAAACTAACTCTTAGAGTGCCTGTATTTGTTCATTTTGGTGCTCCGACCCTTTCTGCAACCTGCAAAAAGCTCTTGGAGGCTGAGCTACCTAAATCTTTGCTGGAGAACTAGTGATCCCGGAAACAGGTGCACAGCAGCTTCCTAACCATCAGGAAGCAGACTCAGCATTTATTAACGTTTGGAACAAAGTTCCTGTCTTCTGGTTTCAGTCTTGAGGCAGCTGCACATCAGTAGAGGGAGGGTCAGCCTGTGGTTTCAGGGGCTGCAGGTGTGGTTTCCGTCACTCGCACGTTGTGGTGGATGGAGAAGGCTCCCCTATGCTTATGCCACGTCCTTCGTGTGTGGGGCATGGAAGTTATAAAGCCGGAGCCGGGGGGCGCAGGCAGAAGCACTGCGGTCTGAAGTGTGGCAGAGGGGACAGCCGAGAAGGAGGGCGGCGGGGAGGGATGGAGCCCGCCGCGGGAGAGGCAGATGTCTCCGCAGCGGAGACGGGCAGTCGGGGAGGCGGGTCCGCTCCCCGGGCTCTGGCCGGGGGTCTTGCCGCCCGGGGGCTGGCCCGGAGCCTGGGGAGGGCGGGAGGAGGCGGCGGCGGCTCCTCCCCGCTCCCTCCCCTGCCGCCGGCAGTCGGGCCGCGGGGCCAGTCGCGTGGGGCCGGGCGGCGGAGGCCGAGGG